GCATTCCCCCATTTGAGGGAATGGACATTCCTTGCCCCTCCCTTGGGAATGAAATCCCATTCTTGTTGATTTTAATTCCCATACCCATTCCTGTTTGAAGCAAACAAACTATGGGAATGGACCATTCCGATTCCAATTCTGGAAGATTCCGACTACGAACCAAATGGACCCTTTGTTCTCTATCCCTTTCCTCTAGTGTTCTTTGAGATTCTTTGGAACCCACCCCTTTAATTTGATCCACTACTTCATTCTTTCATGCTTTAAGTCTTCCAAACTGCTCTATGTTCCAAGTCTTTATCTTAAACTTTAGGGCCTTAAACTTCCTATGGAAAAGCATTCCTTTCCAATTCCCACCCTTAGCCTTTCTCCTTGCCACCATTCCTTCACCTTTTAGTGGAAACATGGGTGGATTAGCCACATGTTTTCAAATTTCAACCAGGCAAGACCTAAACCTCTTAACTCCACTTGAAATAGGGAAATTGGTCCATGATCCAAGGTTACCCTAGGTAAGGTTTTAGAGGATAGCACAATCCAATGTTCCATCACCTTCCCACCATTCCTTTTCCTCATGCATGTCATGATTCTTTGCATAAGATTATTTGTCTCCTCAGTGAATCAAATTTCATTGAAGTCCCACTAATACACCATGGTCCCCTCCATAATCCTTTAATGTCATAGAGTTTTTCGCACAAATCATTTTTTCTCTATATCCATTAGGTCAATAAATATTAGTTAGTACCCATTCATACCCATCCTCTACCTATGGGAATTTCATAGAAACAATGTATTTACCAAGTAGCTCTTCCACTCGTTCCATAACCTCTAATTTCGAGAGGGTGGCTATTCCTCCTAAAGTTCCCCACGAATGAATCCAAGCCCAACCTATCCCTCTCGCCTTCCACAAACTTTTGGCCCATTTATTGTCAAATTCAGTCAACTTTGATTCTTGTAATAGAACTATGTTAGGATTTTCTTTCTTAATCAGCTCTTTTATCACTACTCTCTTTTTTGCACTCCCCAAACCTCTCACATTCTACCTTAATATTTTCATTAACAATCAAGAACTTACCTCTTTTCTTTCCCCTTTTAATGCCATCTTCTTCTTCTCTCCCCTCTTTCACTAAATTCCTTGTCACCTATAATGTCTAGCCTCAATCTCTCTACCTAAATTATTTTTTCTTCTTAGTTTTCCTTCCATCTTCATGCTTTCTTAAAGACACCTTCAACTCATTCAGATCCTCAAATTTACAACCTAGCTTCCCTAGAAAGGCTGCCATTGAGTCTTCCTCTTCCTCTCCTAGAACTCCATCCCTCATCCCTCTCCCCCTCCCTCACCCCTCAAACTCCATTCCCAAATTCTCTACCCTTATTCTATCTCCCCTCTCTCATTTCTCTTTCCTATCATATCTGATGTCCACCCCACCTCACCAACTCCTTCTACTTCTGTCTCTTAAGTTCTTTGCTTAACAAATAAGGATGCTAGAAGACCTTTAATTACCTCTTGCCCTTGTTGTGAGCATGGAACTTGGCTTCTTCTCCCTTGACTATTAGTTTCACCCTTCATCAGTGTTCTCGGCTTCATGGTTTCACCATTACTTGTGTTAGCATGTTTGGGGTTGTTAGCATTGAATTCTCCCAAGCTTTAGATTGACCTAAGAGTAACTTAGTGTCTAAGTCTTCCAGGCCCTCCCCTTCTTTCCATATCTCTCCCTCAACGCTTCTAAGAACAGAATCTTCCTTTGACCAAGAGTTTTCACTATCTGAATCAGATAGATCCAAATGATGGTCTATCACACTATCAACTCCTTTAGAAGTCACATGCTCACTTAACAACTCATGTGACTTCTCAAAGAACCTTTCAACCTAAAAGCTTAAGTTGTTAAGTGAGGTCCTTGAATAGGTTCATATTCTCTAACACGTTCCCTTACACGAAAGCCCATTGGGCTTGAAACAAAAACAAGCACAAGCACACCCATACCTTGTGTTGAAACTTATTTAATTATAATGGGGGTAACGAGAATCGAACACTAGACCACTTGGTCAAAATGGCTCTGATACCATCTCAAAGAACCATTCAACCTAAAAGCTTAAGTTGTTAGGCGAGGTCCTTGAATAAGTTGATATTCTCTAACATGACTTTATTTCTTTGTTTCTTCCCGGTCTAGCCATTGTTGATTTGGTTTGGAGTAGCGCAACACTATTTCGGTTTAAGCCTACCCTTTCTTCTCTGCATGACTTGTCAACAGGATTGTCTACCTCCAAAATTTTGTTGTCCCTCTTGTGCTTTAAATGTTGACCACACAAGCAACCACCTGTGCATAGCTTTTAAGTTACACCACTCAATGAACATCCTGTGGGCATAAACCTTCTATAGATTTAGCCATTTGAGCCCCTTTTTTCTTCATTTCAGACCTCTAAATTTCCTATTTTGTGTAACGTAGGTTACCCATTTGTTCATCCTCTCGCATGCCACGTGCACTTACATCTTCTTGCACAGAGTCAGCTTCCCCGCCAGAAACTCCTTCCTTCCACCACCGGGCTTCAAGGGAGGAGGCAATCCCATAAGAGAAGACTTTTATCATTTTTGGTATTAGTTCTGGCTTTTCCCCCACCAGTTTTAGTCTAACTGCTCTAAGGTCATTAGCATCGAATGAAGCCATTTCTCCCCCACAAAGTTTCAATGTCTTCTTGAAGACATTCTTTGACCAGAGATGGAATGGAAGTCCCAAAATTCTCAGGTTAATATCCTTCTTACACTCTACTAGTTTTTCATTACTGGTAAAGCCCATTGATGTATTGTTATCAAGCGTAGCTCTGTCCCCACCGTGGTTATCACAAATTTTTCTGGGTAACGTGAGAGAATGAACAATGCCTCGTTGTCCTTAAAGGGAACAATCTCCTATTTTCCAGAGGTTTTTAATGCCCCTCTAGCATCTTCGATCAACCCGTTCTAGTCATTAGTTTTCCTTTTAGCAGATAGTATCAATCTATCTCACCATATATCTTCTGGACCATGAATCCAGGCTTTCAGCTTTATTAATCTAAGGGGGCATTCATTTTTTGCATTTTGAGAGGTGGGGAAAGTTGGCCAATGGGATTTTGGTTCTCATTGACCAAGAATCTTATATTTCTTTTACAGATTTATGTGGGATCAGGGAAAATTTATTTACCTGTGTATTCCATTTCATAGGTGGATAAATAGCTTTTCCACCTTGGGGGAAGTTGCTAACAATTGGATGGGACAAAAATGTCCCTTGTAATAATGGAATTTTTTGACTAAAATGGTCTTTGCTTTATTTACATGAAAAATAAAAGAACATAAGTAAACAAAAGAACATGGCTAAATGCACTTACTTGAGTAAGTCTTTTCAAGAAAACAGTTACATTGATAAGTGCATTTACCCGAATAAGTAACTTACCAAAAAGCTAACGCGGCCTAAGAGTATATTGTACTTCTCCACTAGCCACTTCTACCTTTGAGTTTTCAATAGTTTCCTTAAAATCAACTTCTTCTTCAACTATTTTCTTCATAGGTTTCTCGGGTTCTTTAAACGACATTAACTTGCATTGAGTGTATTCCCATAATGCTCCTGCTAGTTGCAACCACCCAGAGGCTTTCCTTCCTTCCAGAAAGCAGGTCAACTGTCGTAGTCCTTCTCCATAATACTTGTAAACCCTAATGTACCGACCATTCCTATTTCCTCGCCTCTCTGCTACATATTTACCCGTGAGTATCGGAGAAGCTTTCCTCAGCTCCATTATCTTCAATGCCGCCATTCTTCTTGTCTAGACCTCCTCCAGTACGAAAGTTTTGGCTTCAATCTTCAGGATCTTCCTCCAACTCCTCGCCGGTGTAAAAGCCGTCTCAAATCAGCAATTTAATAATTTTAGTTTCATTGTCACCCCATTAGCGGATCAGGGGGCAAAGTGCTGGAATCTAAAATTTTGGGGCAGGGATATTAATCACAATACAGAATTCATGTGGGAATAATTGTAACAATACCTTTAGTATAGAGTGGCTATCTCTAATTTACCCTAGATTTTATTGGCTGCTAAAACAATTCAATACTTGCTTGTGGTATATATTATTAGCGAGATTAGTTACGTGGGAGAGAATTGAATCCGGATGATTTGCACTTGATAACGAGTCCGGATCTCCTGTTCACGACAACTCTGCCTACACCTACCCACAATACACTATCCTCCCATGTGTTGGGAACATCTCCCCCTACTATGCAGGGGATGAGATATTCTCCATATGTGATTGCAATAAATGTGGACAGAGTTTTCATGGGTTGGAGATCAAGACTCCTTGATAACATTGTTATTTAATCAATAATAATGCCTCATGTCCGTAAGTCAGGTCATCAAGTGTATATCGCCCCGCAAATAGGGGCGCAATTTGGGTGGGTTGGGATGGATTGAGGGTAAATACAAGTGTAACCCCAAGATAAAAATATCAGAGTTGGGTCTAGCCCAACTGAGGTCAAGTCTGGGGTCGTTGAGTTAGATTGGGCTTTGATGGAGCTGGGCAGGCTGATCATATTCTTTCCGGATGGACTTGGTTGGATTGAGTTGGACTAGGCTCGGGCTACCTGAACCTCAACGTAAGCCAAATCCAAGCTCGGATTAGGCCTGAATTTTCTGGTCCAGGCCCATAAAGAAGCCCAAAGGCTGAGGCCCAATTTTTTTCCGATACCTAAAAAAATCGTTGCGGGACTAATCTGACCCAACCCAGTCCAATTATAAAATCCGGGTTGCTTGGGTTGAATCAGCGTTACATATTCTAGGGTCGAGTTGGGCTCAGGTGATTATACTCGTTATTAGGTTGAGGTTTGGGTAAAGGTTGAAGTACTTTTTAACTCAGGGTTGTTTTTTGGATTGACCTCAACATGACCCGATCCAACTCCGCCCGAGTTGCACCCGTAATCACACGCCAGCTACAAGATTACTTCATTGGAGGAACAAAGAAAACACGTAAAACAGAATAGCAGTGACAAAGTCATAAACATTGCCAAGTAAAAATAGTTCGATAGTAACATGCATTTCAACCAAATTGAAATCACGCAACGGACGAAATGAAACGATACAAAGTCATGACAATTTCAAAGATATAGACTTGGATGGAAGCAGAATTTGAAAGGGTCGTAGATGATCGATCATCGACCTGCATGTAATTATGCGTGGATAAACACCCAGATTGAGATACTCAACCAGAGTAGTTACAGGTCAAGGACCATGGACAAAGAAAGAGAGCATAGCAAACAAGGAGGATGCAAAGGTGAAAAGAAGAGCTGAAGTTGCACCAATGAGTGCAACAACCGTCAACGGATTTTTTAAATGTTCGCGCTTGAAAATTGCGCTCCAGACCACCCAACGATTTTCAAAATGGTTATTAAGATCCGTGCAGACGTCTTCATAATAGAAGTAATGGAGGAAAATTCCTTTTCTAAGATTGTCGAACAGAACTGATACTTCTTCATGGCTGCCCAAGCCATGCGTGATTATTCCTTTCTTGTAGAGGTACTGGACATCTTCTCGACTGTTGATGAGGCTATCCATAAGAAAGGCATAAGATGTGATCCGACCAGTACATTTAGGGAAATACTGCTCAAATGCAATCAAATTTCGAAATAAGCATTCGGTGTAGCTATGAACATGTAAATTGGGGATTTCTAATACACCATTTGTGAAGCTTATGTCTAAGAAGCTATCAGCATTCTCCTTCTTCCTGAACTTGACTCCAGCTTCTATGAGTTGTGTCACAGAGTAATTACTTAATTTGGCCTCTCGACTACTCTTTCCTGTGATTTCCAATTTCGATGAATCACACATAAACTTGCGCAGTAAATGGAGTATATGCTTGGTCGTTTTGGGTTGAAACACTTTCACGTTTTGGATTGGAGCTATGTCTTGAAAGAAATCGTAGACGAGTCTATCGAGGGATATTGATGAAATGTCGGCAATGGTGTTTCTAAATAATAACTCAAGGATACGAAACGGGAGTTGGTTTTCAAGTAATAACAAGTCGTGTCGTATCCTTGGGAGCATCTTCTTGGATATTGGGCCATCCGAATCATCATTATCGTCATCGATTTGGTTGCCGATCACAGGTTGTTCCGGATGATTTTTCCGATATCTTCTACAAAGCAATTCGAGAAGGAAACAACCATCCACTAACATCATTGTCACAAAATCAGCCCTATCCTTGAATTCTATCTCTTCAGAATACCATCTTCGAGCGTTTTCTTCATTTTCCTTCAAGACTTTCACGCAGTTATCCAAGGTTTTTTCCCAGCTGCAGTTGGGATTACGGGGTAAAAACCATTTGAGATATTTGTTTTTCTGTTTTCTGGTACCTTGTAGACGTCTACTTTTATAATAAAAGGGGCCAATTGAAACTATCTGAGGCACATAATTGATGTCGCCAAGCTGCTCCTGTATTCTGTATATACTACTAAGAGATTTTGGAGGTTTAGTATTGTCTCTAAGACCACACGTCAGTATTACAAAGTCTAACAGCTCCTGATGACGCTCATCCTTTACTTGTTCATATACTGGAGCTTTTCCTCTGGCTTCATCATTTCTTTCCCTGAGCAAAGAAGACTACGATTGGAGATAACCTTAGGGTGGTTTCAAACCACCTTCACTGAGATTATATTTATACTACAATGGGCTGTCATTTCATAGATTATTGAATTAAAATGAATTTAAATTCAACCCAACAGGTACATTTAACTAACTAATAAATTTAAAATTGATGGGGTTTCTAAACTATTAATTAATTTATTAGGATGATGTGCACTATGTGTTGGGTTTCCCTCTTATGTGGAGGATGGCCCAAGAAGCTGTCATGTGGTATTTTTTAGTCCATGTATGAGAGTATTCTTGTTCAAATAAAAATAGGAAAATAGTGGTGTTGGTTGCCAAAAAGATTGGGAGAAGAAGAGAAGAAAAAGGAAGAGAGTCCCGTGCAAAAACGAAGAGAGAAAAGGAGCGAATTCTTTAAATTTCAGTTTGCGCAGTTTTCATCTTGTGCTCCGATCGAAGGTCGTTTGTAGTCCGATTGAGCTGCAATTTTGTAGGCATGTTCGCGGCTTAAGGTTATTCAATTTGAACGGTGGAGATCTGGTTTGACGCACTGGTTTGTGAGATCTGAATCCGCGAACAGTACCTCCGTTTTGGGTGAGATTTCTCCATTATCTTGAGATATTTCTTAGTTTCCAAAAAACATATTTTCTTGATGATTTTCTTGATAATTTGCTGATTGTATGTCTCTAGTTTTATCTAGAGAGAACCCTTGTACAATCACTTTCTTAATAGTGAAAGTTTTTGGGTGACCGTGGTTTTTTTCTTTCCCACACCAAGAAGATTTTTCCACATAAATTTGGTTGTGTTCTTGTGTACTTGTTCTTTGGTTTAAGCTCTACTAAATTGTTTCCTAATAGATTCACACAAAGAGGGAGAAAAATATTATTTCCGCTGTTTTTGAAAGTTGATTATAATTTGCTTGATTTCGTGATTCTTCCAACAAGTGGTATCAGAGTTGTGGTTATTGTTACTGAATATCTTGTGTTGAATATGGAAACTAATTTGAGTAGAATGATTACTTTGAATGGTGCAAATTACCATACTTGGAAAGGAAAAATGGAAGATCTCCTTTATGTTAAACAATTTCAACTACCGGTGTTTGCCACTGAGAAGCCAGAAAATATGTCTGAGGAACAATGAACCTTGTTACATCAATTGGTTTGTGGGTATATAAGGCAGTGGGTAGATGATAATGTTTTGAATCATATTAGTGGAGAAACACATGCACAGACACTCTGGAATAAACTTGAAGAGTTGTATGCTCGGAGAACGGGAAATAATTAAATGATTCTCATCAAACAGTTGATGGCTTTGAGGTATCGAGATGGAACTTCGTTGACAGATCACTTGAATACGTTCCAAGGTATAATTAATCAACTAGCTGGAATGGGTATCAATTTTAATGATGAGATTCAGGGGTTCTGTCTACTGGGTACATTGCTAAAATCTTGGGAGAGATTCAGAATGTCATTGAGTAACTTAGCTCCGAATGGTATAATCAATATGGATCTGGCTAAGAGCAGTATTTTAAATGAAGAAATGAGAAGAAAGTCGCATGAGTTTTCTCAGCAGTTTGAGATTTTGGTTACAGAAAGAAGAGGGCGGAGTAAGAGCAAAGATTCCAAGAACAAAGATAAAGGAAGAAGTAAGTCCAACAGGTTTGCTAATGTTGAGTGTCATCACTGCGGCATGAAAGGACACATCAAGAAATATTGTAGACAATTGAAACGGGAGAACAAGAAAAAAGGCAAAGAACAAGAGGGTGGTGATAACAAGGAAAATGATAGAGTTGCTACCACTTCTATTGAAGACTTTCTTACTGTTTATGATAGTGATATTGTCAACATTGCATGTCATAAGACCAATTGAGTTATTGATAGTGGAGCCTTCATTCATTCTACATCTCAAAAGGACTTCTTTACATCCTACACGGCAGGTGACTTTGGTACAGTAAAGATGAGCAATGATGGCTTAGCCAAAGTCATTGGTATTGGAGATATGTGCTTGGAGATGAACAATGGCACGAAGCTACTTTTTAAAGGGGTAAAGCATATTCCTGATATTCGCTTGAATTTGATCTCTGCAGGTAAACTTGATGATGAAGGATATTGCAACACCTTTAGTAATGGTCAGTGGAAGCTTATTAAAGGTGCTATGATTGTTGCTCGTGGAAACAAGCATTCTAGCTTGTATATACTACAAGTAGGACTCTCACAAGACGCTATCAATGCTATGAAAGATAAGCTTACATCAGAGTTGTGGCATAAGAAACTTGCTCATATAAGCGAGAAAGGCTTGACAGTATTGGTTAAGAAGAGTCTTTTTCCTGGCATGAATGATCCACATTTGGAAAAATGTACTCATTGCTTGGTAGGGAAGCAGAATAGAGTTTTTTTCAGTAGTTCCCCTTCTTCAAGAAAGCGCGGTATACTTGATCTAGTACATTCAGATGTGTGTGGTCCTATGAAGATAAGAACTCTAGGTGATGCCTGTTATTTTGTGACCTTCATAGATGATTGTTCAAGAAAGTTATGGGTGTACACTTTGAAGAGCAAAGACCAAGTCTTAGACGTGTTCAAGCAGTTTCAGGCTCTAGTTGAGCGACAGACTGGGAAGAAATTGCGATGCATCAGAACAGATAATGGGGGAGAGTATTTAGGTCCTTTTGATGAGTACTGCAGGCATCAAGGCATTCGACATCAAAAGGCACCTCCCAAGACTCCTCAGTTGAATGGTTTAGCTGAGAGAATGAATAGGACTCTAGTTGAAAGAGTAAGATGTCTTCTTTTGCAGACTCAGTTGCCAAGATCTTTCTGGGGTGAGGCTTTGAATACAGTTGTACATGTCCTTAATCTCACACCATGTGTTCCTCTTTAGTTTGATGTTCCAAACAGAGTTTGGACTGGCAAAGATGTTTCTTATGATCATCTGCATGTTTTTTGTTGCAAGGCATTTGTGCACATCCCAAAAGACGAGAGGTTTAAGCTTGATGTGAATACATGACAATGCATCTTTGTTGGTTATGGACTAGATGAATTTGGGTACAGATTATATGATCCAGTTGAGAAGACAGAAAAAGCAGTCCATCAATACAATGATGATTTGATTGACTTGGATCCGATTCCTTTATCAGCATAGGCGAAAAATACACAGGATGATCAATAGGGTACTGATGATGTAGATGCTCCTATGCAGGTCGAGATAGATCATCAGAGTATTGATCAGTTGCCAGAACCAGAAATTCTACTCAGAAGGTCTACCAGAGATCGACGTCCTTTCACACGGTATAATGCAAATGAATATGTATTATTGATAGATGAGGGAGAACCTCAATGTTATGCAGAAGCCATGGAAGATGAAAACAGGGCACATTGGGTTGGTGCTATGGAAGATGAGATGCAATCTTTGTATGACAATCACACGTTTGAGCTGGTAAAGTTGCCTAAGGGTAAGAGAGCTTTGAAGAACAAGTGGGTTTACAGGGTGAAGCAAGAAGAACATACTTCACAACCACGATACAAAGCCAGATTGGTTATCATGGGATTTAGTCAGAGAAAACTGAGCAGATGTATATAAAAACTGTCTTTCTTCATGGTGAATTAGAAGAAGAGATCTATATGGAGCAACCAGAGGGTTTCGAGGTAAGAGGAAAAGAGGGTTATGTTTGCCGATTAAAGAAAAGCCTTTACGGTTTGAAACAAGCAACCAGATAATGGTATAAGAAATTTGAGTTAGTTATGGGGGAGCATGGCTATAAGAAGACTATTTCTGATCACTGTGTTTTTGTGCAGAAATTCTCTGATGACGATTTTATTATCTTATTATTTTACGTTGATGACCTGTTGATTGTTGGCAGAAATTCTTCAAGGATTGAGAATTTGAAGAACCAGTTAAGTAAGTCCTTTGCCATGAAGGACTTGGGACCAGCAAAACAAATTCTTGGCATTCAAATTTGTCGAGACAGGAAAAAGAAAAAGTTGTACATGTCACAGGAACGGTACATTAACAAGGTACTTGATCCATATAGATAAAGTTAAAGTGGTCTCTTCTCCTTTATCTAACCACTTTAAGTTAAGATCAGATCAAGGCCCTTTAACAAATAAAGAGAAGGAAGATATGGAAAATGTTCCATATGCGTCAGCAGTAGAAAGTTTGATATATGCAATGGTGTGTACAAGGCCAGACATAGCTTATGCAGTTGGAGTTATTAGTCGTTTCCTTTCGAACCTAGGAAGAAACCATTGGGATGCAGTAAAGTGGATAATGAAATATCTTCGAGGTACTTCCAATTTAACACTTAGTTTCGGCAGTGGTAAACTAGTGTTAATGGGATACAATGATTCAGATATGGCAAGAGATGAGGATTCTCGTAATTCTAGTTCAGGTTATCTGATTACTTTCTCTGGTGGAGCTGTTTCATGGCAGTCAAGGTTGTAGAAGTGTATTGCTCTTTCTACAGTAGAGGCAGAGTTTATTGCAACAACAGAAGCTTGTAAAGAATTGTTATGGATGAAGCAGTTCATGAGAGAGTTTGGTTTCAAGCAACAGAAGTATGTTTTGTTCTGTGATAATCAAAGTACTATTCACTTGGCTAAGAATTCATAATTTCATGCAAGGTCAAAGCATATCAGTGTGATGTATCATTGGATAAGAGATACTCTAAACAACAAATTGCTTGAACTTGAAAAAATTCACACAGATGATAATGACTTTGATATATTAACAAAATCATTATCAAGAGAAAAACTTGAGGTTTGTCACTTAGTCGTCAGGTTGGCGAATCCCTCCACCTAGTTGAGAAAGGGGGAGATTTGTTGGGTTTCCCTCTTATGTGGAGGATGGCCCAAGAAGCCAATGTGGTATTTTTGAGCCCATGGATGAGGGTATTCTTGTTCAAATGAAAATAGGAAAAGGAAACAACTTTTTAGTGGTGTTGGTTGCCAAAAATATTGGGAGAAGAAGAGAAGAAAAAGGAAGAGAATCCCGTGCAAAAACGGAGAG